GGGGCAGACGCAGGCAGGCCCGCGTCGGGTGGCAAGGGTCAGGAGTTCAGGAGTTCTCCGGCCAGTGTCTCTCAGGGGCAGCCGGAAAGCTGCCCCTGGCAATGTGCCGCCCCAAGCACGTGCTTGGTTTGCTGGTGCCTGGAGCCGGCCTTGGGTTGAGGGGCACCAGCAGAACTGAGGTCTGTGGGTCAGAGTTTAGGGGCAATGGCAGAGCTGTGGGCTGTGGGTGGGGATTGAGGGGCACTGGCAGAACTGGGGGCTGCAAGTCGGGATCCAGGGGCACAGCCATAGCTGGGGTCTGTGGGTCAGAGTTCAGGGGCACTGGCAGAGCTGGGGGTCTGTGGGTCGTGGTTGAGGGGCCGTGGCAGAGCTGGGAGCTGCGGGTCCTGGGTTATGGGGCACTAGCAGGGCTGGGGGCTGTGGGTTGGGGGGATTGAGGGGCACTGGCAGAACTGGGGGCTGCAAGTCGGGATCCAGGGGCACAGCCATAGCTGGGGTCTGTGGGTCAGAGTTCAGGGGCACTGGCAGAGCTGGGGGTCTGTGGGTCGTGGTTGAGGGGCCGTGGCAGAGCTGGGAGCTGCGGGTCCTGGGTTATGGGGCACTAGCAGGGCTGGGGGCTGTGGGTTGGGTTTATGGGGCGCTAGCAGGGCTGGTCTGTTCCCCTGCAGCCCAGCTCTCCCAGGGGCAGGTCTATCGGATCCAGGTGGCGCCCCATGTCACGGTGCAGCAGGGCCTCTGCGTGCTGCTCCCCTGCCATTTCACAGCCGATTTCAAGTCCCCCGGGCCTGTCTACAAATACTGGTTCCGCAGAGACGTAGACAAGGACCGCTGCGTGCCCGTGGCCAGCACCAACCCGGACAGGCCTCCACTGGCGTCCAGGGGTCGGATCCGCCTGGCTGGGGATGCTGAGAACGACTGCTCCCTGATCATCAGCGACGTGCGGGCTGAAGACCAGGAGCACTACTTCTTCCGCTTCGAGAAGGGAGAGAGCAAATACAGCTACGTGGAGAACCAGACGCTGGTGAACATCACAGGTGCAGAATGGGGCCCAGTAATACTGAGTTTAGTTATACCCAGTGGAGAGGAGTCCCATGGGTGAGTCCCAAAAATACCCTGTGGCAGGGAGTTCCACAGGTGATCTCCAATAATACTCTGGGGCAGGAAGATCCTCGGGTTAGTTCCAATAACACTCAGTGGTGGGGAGTTCCACAGGTTAGCCCCAACTATACCCAGTGGAGGACAGTTCCACCAGTTAGCACGAATAATATCACGTGGCATGGCATGCCGGGGATTAACCCCAGTAATGCCCCACAGGGCTGAATCTTAATGGTTTTTCCACCCTAGAACTGAGGGACCAGCCAGTCCTGAGGGTCCCTGAGGTGCTGAAACCCGGGCAGCCAGTGAATGTGACCTGCCAGGCTCCAGGCACCTGCTCTGGGACCCCTCCTCAAATCACCTGGACAGGAGGGTTCGACTACTCGGCCATGAACGTCTCAGAGCCCCAGGGGAACGGCAGCGTCTCCTACAGCTCCGTGCTCCACTTCACGCCCACCCTGGCGCACGATGGCAAAGAGCTCGGCTGCACCGTCACGTACCCTGCGGTCGGGGTGTCCACCCGCCGAGCCCTCCGGCTCCACGTCGGCTGTGAGTCGCCCCGTGCAGCATTGGCAGGGAAGTGGGGTCTAGTGGTTACGGAGACAGGCAGGACTCCTGGATTCTGTGGCTGGTGATGCGAAGGAAGTGGGGGCTCATGGTTGTAGAGGGGGTGGCACTGAGAGCCAGGAGGGCAGTGGGGTC